ACACCTACTACTACTACACTACTACTACTACACCTACTACTACTACACTACTACTACACCTACTACTACACCTACTACTACTACACTACTACACCTACTACTACTACACCTACTACTACTACACCTACTACTCCACCTGCTACTACACCTACTACTACTACACCTACTACTACTACACCTACTACTACTACACCTACTACTACTACACCTACTACACCTACTACTACTACACCTACTACTACTACACCTACTACTACTACACCTACTACTACTACTACACCTACTACTACACTTGCTACTACTACTACACCTACTACTACTACTACACCTACTACTACTACTACACCTACTACTACACCTACTACTACTACACCTACTGCTACTACACCTACTACACTACTACTACTACACCTACTACTACTACACCTACTACTACTACACCTACTACACTACTACTACACCTACTACACCTACTACTACACCTACTACTACTACTACACCTACTACTACTACTACACCTACTACACCTACTACTACTACACCCACTACTACTACACCTACTACTACTACACCTACTACTACTACACCTACTACTACCACACCTACTACTACTACACCTACTACACTACTACGACACCTACTACTACTACACCTACTACTACTACACCTACTACAACTACACCTACTACTACTACACCTACTACTACTACACCTACTACTACTACTACACCTACTACTACTACACCTACTACTACTACACCTACTACTACTACACCTACTACTACTACACCTACTACTACCACACCTACTACTACTACACCTACTACACTACTACGACACCTACTACTACTACACCTACTACTACTACACCTACTACAACTACACCTACTACTACTACACCTACTACTACTACACCTACTACTACTACACCTACTACTACTACACCTACTACTACTACACCTACTACTACTACACCTACTACTACTACACCTACTACTACTACTACACCTACTACTACTACACCTACTACTACTACTACACCTACTACTACTACACCTACTACTACTACACCTACCACTACTACACCTACTACTACTACACCTACTACACTACTACTACACCTACTACTACTACACCGACTACTACTACACCTACTACTACCACACCTACTACTACTACACCTACTACACTACTACGACACCTACTACTACTACACCTACTACTACTACACCTACTACAACTACACCTACTACTACTACTACACCTACTACTACTACACCTACTACTACTACTACACCTACTACTACTACACCTACTACTACTACACCTACTACTACCACACCTACTACTACTACACCTACTACACTACTACGACACCTACTACTACTACACCTACTACTACTACACCTACTACAACTACACCTACTACTACTACACCTACTACAACTACACCTACTACTACTACACCTACTACTACTACACCTACTACTACTACTACACCTACTACTACTACACCTACTACTACTACACCTACTACTACTACACCTACTACAACTACACCTACTACTACTACACCTACTACTACTACACCTACTACTACTACTACACCTACTACTACACCTACTACTACTACACCTACTGCTACTACACCTACTACACTACTACTACTACACCTACTACTACTACACCTACTACTACTACACCTACTACACTACTACTACACCTACTACACCTACTACTACACCTACTACTACTACTACACCTACTACTACTACTACACCTACTACACCTACTACTACTACACCCACTACTACTACACCTACTACTACTACACCTACTACTACTACACCTACTACTACCACACCTACTACTACTACACCTACTACACTACTACGACACCTACTACTACTACACCTACTACTACTACACCTACTACAACTACACCTACTACTACTACACCTACTACTACTACACCTACTACTACTACTACACCTACTACTACTACACCTACTACTACTACACCTACTACTACTACACCTACTACTACTACACCTACTACTACTACACCTACTACTACTACTACACCTACTACTACTACACCTACTACTACTACTACACCTACTACTACTACACCTACTACTACTACACCTACTACTACACCTACTACACTACTACTACACCTACTACTACTACACCTACTACTACTACACCACTACTACTACACCTACTACTACTACACCTACTACTACTACTACACCTACTACTACTACACTACTACTACACCTACTACTACTACACCTACTACTACTACACCTACTACTACTACACCTACTACTACTACACCTACTACTACTACTACACCTACTACTACTACACCTACTACTACTACACCTACTACACTACTACTACACCTACTACTACTACACCTACTACTACTACACCTACTACTACTACACCTACTACTACTACTACACCTACTACTACACCTACTACTACACTACTACTACACTACTACTACACCTACTACTACACCTACTACTACACCTACTACTACTACACCTACTACTACTACACCTACTACTACTACACCTACTACTACTACACCTACTACACTACTACTACACCTACTACTACTACACCTACTACTACTACACCTACTACTACTACACCTACTACTACTACACCTACTACTACTACTACTACTACACCTACTACTACTACACTACTACTACACCTACTACTACTACACCTACTACTACTACACCTACCACTACTACACCTACTACTACTACACCTACTACACTACTACTACACCTACTACTACTACACCTACTACTACTACACCTACTACTACTACACCTACTACTACTACACCTACTACTACTACTACACCTACTACTACTACACTACTACTACACCTACTACTACTACACCTACTACTACTACACCTACTACTACTACTACACCTACTACTACTACACCTACTACTACATCTACTACTACTACACCTACTACTACTACTACACCTACTACTACATCTACTACTACTACACCTACTACTACTACTACACCTACTACTACACCTACTACTACTACTACACCTACTACTACTACACCTACTACTACATCTACTACTACTACACCTACTACTACTACTACACCTACTACATCTACTACTACTACTACACCTACTACTACTACACCTACTACTACTACACCTACTACTACTACTACACCTACTACTACACCTACTACTACTACACCTACTACACTACTACTACACCTACTACTACACCTACTACTACTACACCTACTACTACTACTACACCTACTACACCTACTACTACTACACCTACTACTACTACACCTACTACTACTACACCTACTACTACTACACCTACTACTACTACACCTACTACTACTACACCTACTACTACTACACCTACTACTACTACTACACCTACTACTACTACACCTACTACTACTACTACACCTACTACTACTACACTACTACTACACCTACCACTACTACACCTACTACTACTACACCTACTACACTACTACTACACCTACTACTACTACACCTACTACTACTACACCTACTACTACTACTGCACCTACTACTACTACACCTACTATTACTACACCTACTACTACTACACCTACTACTACTACACCTACTACTACTACTACTACACCTACTACTACTACACCTACTACTACACCTACTACTACTACACCTACTACACTACTACACCTACTACACTACTACTACACCTACTACACTACTACTACTACACCTACTACACTACTACTACACCTACTACACTACTACTACACCTACTATACTACTACTGCACCTACTACACTACTACTACACCTACTACTACACCTACTACTACACCTACTACTACTACACCTACTACTACTACACCTACTACTACACCTACTACTACTACACCTACTACTACTACTACTTCACCTACTACTACACCTACTACTACTACACCTACTACTACTACACCTACTACACTACTACTACACCTACACGTACTACACCTACTACTACTACACCTACTACTACACCTACTACTACTACACCTACTACTACACCTACTACTACTACACCTACTACTACTACACCTACTACTACTACACCTACTACTACTACACCTACTACTACTACACCTACTACTACACCTACTACTACTACACCTACTACTACACCTACTACTACTGCACCTACTACTACTACACTACTACACCTACTACACTACTACTACACCTACTACTACTACTACACCTACTACTACTACACCTACTACTACTACACCTACTACTACTACTACACCTACTACTACTACTACACCTACTACACTACTACTACACCTACTACTACACCTACTACTACTACACCTACTACTACACCTACTACACTACTACTACACCTACTATAAAACTACTGCACCTACTACACTACTACTGCTACTACTACACCTACTACACTACTACTACACCTATTACTACTACACCTACTACACTACTACTACACCTACTACTACACCTACTACACTACTACTACACCTACTATTACACCTACTACTACTACTACACCTACTACACTACTACTACACCTATTACTACTACACCTACTACACTACTACTACACCTATTACTACTACACCTACTACACTACTACTACACCTACTACTACACCTACTACTACTACACCTACTACTACTACTACACCTACTACTACTACTACACCTACTACACTACTACTACACCTACTACTACACCTACTACACTACTACTACACCTACTACTACTACACCTACTACTACTACACCTACTACTACACCTACTACACTACTACTACACCTACAACTCCCCTTGACCCCCCTTGACCCCCACCTGACCCCCACTTGACCCCCACTTGACCCCCACTTGACCCCCCTGACCCCCCTTGACCCCCACCTGACCCCCGATATCCGCCACAGCTTCCCGTTGGCTTCCGCGGGATTCTCTTCCGTGATGACGGATTCCAGGCAGACCGAGAGGCTGAAGCCATCCAAGCGGCCATCAAAACCAAGGGTGAGGGGGAGGGGCTGGGGGGGTGCTGTGGGGGGAGGAGACACGGGGGGAGTGTGGGTAGTGTGTGTGTGTAGTGTGTGTGTAGTGTGTGTGGTGTGTGTGTGTAGTGTGTGTGTAGTGTGTGTAGTGTGTGTGTAGTGTGTGTGTGTAGTGTGTGTGTACTTTGTGTGTGTGTACTGTGTGTGTCGTGTGTGTGTGTAGTGTGTGTAGTGTGTGTGTAGTGTGTGTGTGTGTGTCGTGTGTGTGTGTAGTGTGTGTGTGTACTGTGTGTGTGTAGTGTGTGTAGTGTGTGTGTAGTGTGTGTACTGTGTGTAGTGTGTGTAGTCTGTGTGTGTGTGTAGTGTGTGTGTAGTGTAGTGTGTGTGTGTAGTGTGTGTGTAGTGTGTGTGTAGTGTGTGTGTACTGTGTGTGTAGTGTGTGTGTGTACTGTGTGTAGTGTGTGTGTGTAGTGTGTGTAGTGTGTGTGTGTAGTGTGTGTGTGTAGTGTGTGTGTGTGTCGTGTGTGTGTGTAGTGTGTGTGTGTACTGTGTGTGTGTAGTGTGTGTATAGTGTGTGTGTGTAGTGTGTGTGTGTGGTGTGTGTAGTGTGTGTAGTGTGTGTGTATGTGTGTGTGTGTGTGTAGTGTGTGTGTGTAGTGTGTGTGTGTAGTGTGTGTGTGTAGTGTGTGTAGTGTGTGTGTGTAGTGTGTGTGTAATGTGTGTGTGTAGTGTGTGTGTGTAGTGTGTATGTAGTGTGTGTGTAGTGTGTGTGTAGTGTGTGTTTGTGTAGTGTGTGTACTGTGTGTGTAGTGTGTGTTTGTGTAGTGTGTGTACTGTGTGTAGTGTGTAGTGTAGTGTGTGTGTACTGTGTGTGTGTACTGTGTGTGTGTAGTGTGTGTGTGTAGTGTGTGTAGTGTGTGTGTGTAGTGTGTGTGTGTACTGTGTGTGTGTACTGTGTGTTTACTGTGTGTACTGTGTAGGAGTGGACGAGGCGAAGATTATTGACGTTCTCACCAAGTGTATACTAAGTGTACTGTGTGTGTACTGTGTGTGTGTACTGTGTGTATACTAAGTGTACTGTGTGTACTGTGTGTATTGTGTTAACTAGGTGTGGACGAGGCGAAGATTATTGTTGTTCTCACCAAGTGTGTACTGTGTGTGTGTACTGTGTGTGTGTGTACTGTGTGTGTACTGTGTGTGTGTGTACTGTGTGTGTATAATAAGTGTACTATGTGTACTGTATGTGTGTGTACTGTGTGTGTACTGTGTGTGTGTCCTGTGTGTATACTAAGTGTACTGTGTGTACTGTGTTTACTAGGTGTGGACGAGGCAAAGATTATTGACGTTCTCACCAAGTGTGTAATGTGTGTGTACTGTGTGTACTGTGTGTGTGTACTGTGTGTATATTCTAAGTGTACTGTGTGTACTGTGTGTGTACTGTGTGTACTGCATGTGTGTACTTTGTGTGTACTGCATGTGTGTACTTTGTGTGTGTATAATAAGTGTACTGTGTGTGTACTGTGTGTGTGTACTGTGTATACCAAGTGTACTGTGTGTGTGTACTGTATGTAGGTGTGGACGAGGCGAAGATTATTGACGTTCTCACCAAGTGTGTAATATGTGTGTGTACTGTGTGTATATACTAAGTGTATATACTGTGTGTGTACTGTGTGTGTACTGTGTGTACTGTGTATATACTAAGTGTATATACTGTGTGTGTACTGTGTGTGTGTACTGTGTGTGTGTACTGTGTGTACTGTGTGTGTACTGTGTGTGTGTACTGTGTGTACTGTGTGTATATACTAAGTGTATATACTGTGTGTGTACTGTGTGTGTGTACTGTGTGTGTGTACTTTGTGTGTACTGTGTGTATATACTAAGTGTATATACTGTGTGTGTGTACTGTGTGTGTGTACTGTGTGTACTGTGTGTAGGTGTGGACGAGGCGAAGATTATTGACGTTCTCACCAAGTGTGTACTGTGTGTGTACTGTGTGTGTGTAATATGTGTACTGTGTGTGTACTGTGTGTGTGTACTGTGTGTGTACTGTGTGTACTGTGTATATACTAAGTGTATATACTGTGTGTGTACTGTGTGTGTGTACTGTGTGTGTGTACTGTGTGTACTGTGTGTGTGTGTACTGTGTGTGTACTGTGTGTGTGTACTGTGTGTGTACTGTGTGTACTGTGTATATACTAAGTGTATATACTGTGTGTGTACTGTGTGTGTGTACTGTGTGTGTGTACTGTGTGTACTGTGTGTGTGTACTGTGTGTATACTAAGTGTACTGTGTATATACTAAGTGTACTGTGTGTACTGTGTATATACAAAGTGTACTGTGTGTGTACTGTGTGTGTGTACTGTGTGTGTACTGTGTGTACTGTGTATATACTAAGTGTATATACTGTGTGTGTACTGTGTGTGTGTACTGTGTGTGTGTACTGTGTGTACTGTGTGTGTGTACTGTGTGTATACTAAGTGTACTCTGTGTATATACTAAGTGTACTGTGTGTACTGTGTATATACTAAGTGTACTGTGTGTGTACTGTGTGTGTGTACTGTGTGTGTGTACTGTGTGTACTGTGTGTGTGTACTGTGTGTATAGTAAGTGTACTGTGTGTATATACTAAGTGTACCGGGTGTACTGTGTATATACTAAGTGTACTGTGTGTGTGTACTGTGTGTGTGTACTGTGTGTACTGTGTGTATATACTAAGTGTGTTTACTGTGTGTGTGTACTGTTTGTACTGTGTGTGTGTACTGTGTGTGTGTACTGTGTGTGTGTACTGTGTGTATACTAAGTGTACTGTGTGTATATACTAAGTGTACTGTGTGTACTGTGTATATACTAAGTGTACTGTGTGTACTGTGTGTGTGTACTGTGTGTGTGTACTGTGTGTGTGTACTGTGTGTATACTAAGTGTACTGTGTGTATATACTAAGTGTACTGTGTGTACTGTGTATATACTAAGTGTACTTTTGTGTGTGTACTGTGTGTGTACTGTGTGTGCTGTGTGTATACTGTGTGTGTGTACTGTGTGTGTATACTGTGTGTGTGTACTGTGTATATACTAAGTATATATACTAAGTGTGCTGTGTGTGTACTGTGTGTAGGTGTGTGTACTGTGTGTGTACTGTGTGTGTACTGTGTGTACTGTGTGTAGGTGTGGACGAGGCGAAGATAATTGACGTTCTAACCAAGTGTGTACTGTGTGTGTACTGTGTGTGTGTGTACTGTGTGTGTGTACTGTGTGTACTGTGTGTGTGTGTACTGTGTGTACTGTGTGTACTGTGTGTGTGTACTGTGTGTGTGTACTGTGTGTACTGTGTGTGTGTACTGTGTGTATACTAAGTGTACTGTGTGCATATACTAAGTGTACTGTGTGTACTGTGTGTATATACTAAGTGTACTTTGTGTGTGTACTGTGTGTACTGTGTGTACTGTGTGTGTGTGTACTGTGTGTGTGTACTGTGTGTGTACTGTGTGTACTGTGTGTACTGTGTGTGTGTACTGTGTGTATACTAAGTGTACTGTGTGCATATACTAAGTGTACTGTGTGTACTGTGTGTATATACTAAGTGTATTTTGTGTGTGTACTGTGTGTACTGTGTATATACTAAGTGCACTGTATGTACTGTGTGTGTACTGTGTGTGTGTACTGTGTGTGTGTACTGTGTGTGTGTATACTAAGTGTACTGTGTGTGTATACCAAGTGTACTGTGTGTGTGTACTGTGTGTATACTAAGTGTACTGTGTGTACTGTGTGTGTACTGTGTGTGTACTGTGTTAACTAGGAGTGGACGAGGCGAAGATTATTGACGTTCTCACCAAGCGTGTACTGTGTGTGTGTACTGTGTGTACTGTGTGTGTACTGTGTGTATAATAAGTCTACTGTGTGTGTGTACTGTGTGTACTGTGTGTACTGTGTTAACTAGGTGTGTGTACTGTGTATATACTAAGTGTACTGTGTGTACTGTGTGTGTACTGTGTGTGTGTACTATGTAGGTGTGGACGAGGCGAAGATTATTGACGTTCTCACCAAGCGTGACAACGTCCAGCGGCGTCAGATCGCTACCGCTTACCAGATGGCCTACGGCAAGGTGCGGTTGACATGGTTACACCACACCGGTTGTCATGGTTACACCACTCCGGTTGCCATGGTTACACAACACCGGTTGTCATGGTTACACCACACCGGTTGTCGTGGTTACACCACACCGGTTGCCATGGTTACACCACACCGGTTTCCATGGTTACACCACACCGGTTGCCATGGTTACACCACACCGGTTGCCATGGTTACACAACACCGGTTGTCATGGTTACACAACACCGGTTGTCATGGTTACACTACACCGGTTGTCGTGGTTACACCACACCGGTTGCCGTGGTTACACCACACCGGTTGCCATGGTTACACCACACTGGTTGTCATGGTTACACCACGCCGGTGGCCATGGTTACACCACACCGGTTGCCATGGTTACACCACACCGGTTGTCATGGTTACATCGAGCTAGTTGTCATGGTTACACCACTACGGTTGTCATGGTTACACCACTACGGTTGTCATGGTTACACCACACCGGTTGTCATGGTTACACCACACCGGATGTCATGGTTACATCGAGCTAGTTGTCATGGTTACACCACACCGGTTGTCATGGTTACATCGAACTAGTTGTCATGGTTACACCACACTGGTTGTCATGGTTACACCACACCGGTTGTCATGGTTACACCACACCGGTTGCCATGGTTACACCACACCGGTTGCCATGGTTACACCACACCGGTTGCCATGGTTACACCACACCGGTTGTCATGGTTACACCACGCCGGTGGCCATGGTTAAACCACACCGGTTGTCATGGTTACACCACACCGGTTGTCATGGTTACACCACACCGGTTGTCATGGTTACACCACACCGGTTGTCATGGTTACATCGAGCTAGTTGTCATGGTTACACCACACCGGTTGTCATGGTTACATCGAGCTAGTTGTCATGTTTACACCACACCGGTTGTCATGGTTACACCACACCGG